GGTCTTGTCTCCGCCCCCTCCTGTAATAAAGACCGGTCCCTGCTGCCCTCTCTCCTTGTGCAGGGTGACTGGTCTTGTCTCCGCCCCCTCCTTGATGATGTCACTGCTACTTTTGTAAGGGAATATCTGGGATTGTGAAGGCGCTTGCACTAAAAGTTGACTGGCTACAAAGTTGCAGTCTGATCACTGGGGGATGGGTGACTGAGGAAATGCTTCCTCCTGCCTGCAGCAGACTGATCACTGGGGGAGGGGAGACTGAGTAAATGCTTCTTCCTGCCTTAAGCAGACTGATCACTGGGGGAGGGGAGACTGAGGAAATGCTTCCTCCTGCCTGCAGCAGACTGATCACTGGGGGAGGGGAGACTGAGGAAATGCTTCCTCCTGCCTGCAGCAGACTGATCACTGGGGGAGGGGAGACTGAGGAAATGCTTCCTCCTGCCTGCAGCAGACTGATGATCATCTCAGCCAAGGCAAAATCACCGGTCTGGAGCTCGGGGACGGCAATTTAATGATGAAAGGTGGAGCGTTTCTGGAAAATGATACTGTTGATGGTATTGTGACAGGTCAGGAATTCATTAGACCGGTAAGGTTACTGGGAGGTCCACTTTAAGGTGCCCATGGAGCTAGAATGGTAGTTGCACCCAGGGCCATGGGATCTTCAGTGAGGAAGCTCGCCTGGTACACGTAGACAGGAAGACGTTTTGTTTGGTGAGGAAACGGAACCTCAGAGATCTGTATCTGGGGGACAAGCAGTGTAACGTTCTTTTCTCATTTTGTTGTTTGCAGGTCGTCCTTTGCGTCTAATATGTTGCCGCGCTCAGCCTGGTCAAAGCGGAGGAGCTTGGGATAGCGTCACCCGAGAGAGGGGAGCACGAGAGGGACCGCCATCCACGCCAGAGCGCTCTCCGGAGGAACCATGTCTGTCATGATGGTGAGGAAGAAAGTGACTCGGAAATGGGAGAAATTACCGGGCAAGAACACCTTCTGCTGCGACGGGCGCGTCATGATGGCCAGACAGAAAGGCATCTTCTACCTGACGCTCATTCTCATCATGGGGACCTGCTCGCTCTTCTTCGCTTTCGAGTAAGTCTTTTCTTTTTTGTGTTTTTTTGCTGGTTTTACAATTGTGGTTTTCTGTCACTTCAATTGTTTGTAAACACGAACCGTTACATAGTTACAACCGTTACACATCGTATTTGAGGTAGAATAAAGACGCGGGTCCATCGAGTGTGTATGGTATGTACACCGAGTGGCCGGATTATTATGACCACCTGATGTTTGTAGGCAAATTAGCTATAATTTGGCGCTGAAGTTGCTAGAGGGCCAGACCATTATAAATAGGGAAGCAGGTTGGTTACCGCGACAGTAGAAGTGATTTGTTTCTGAAGATACGGGGAAACAACGCGATGTAACAGCCTTTGAACGATGATTGTTGGCGCTCGGAGCCATGGAGCGAGTATCAGCAAAACAGCAGAATTCCTTAAATGTTCAAGAGCAGCTGTTGTTAAAGTGTTTAAAGACCGGACTGTCAGCCGAAAATCTGGGTCTGAACGTGCGAATTGTGGCCGTCAGCGACTAGTCAATGTTAGGGCAGAACGGGGGAGGGGCAAGACTGGTACAAGACAACAGAAGGG